AAGAGGAAAATAGAGCCTTGGCTGAGTGAAAATGCTAGAAAAGCAGCGGTAATAGAGTAGGCTTCTGTTAATAAAATTAAATTAATTAATAGAAAGAAAGGGATAGATAAGCTTTTTTGAATGATAGTGAAAGGAATGAACCATCAGTAAAACTTCAAAAAGCTGTATTGTTCTTCAGTCTATTGACACATTAGAAAAAAATCTACACCTGCAGTTCTTAGAGTGTAAATCCTAAGTACTTCTATGGCAAACAGCTGTGAAATTTGGCTCTGATAAATTTCCGAAGAAGTGAAGAATTACTGGACAACTGAAGAAGAAAACTTTCTGCCTGAGAGTGACTTGTATTTCAGTAAGTGTAAAACTAGTGCAAGGAGAGAGTGTAACAGTGGTGGAGTACAGGTTTGCTGCTTTCTTATAAGAGATGGAAATAACAGCTTTTGAGCAAGGACTAAAAAGGAAGGGAGAAAGTGCAATTACAAGTCTTGGTTTTGATCTAGCAAAGTGTATTAGCACGAGCACATCAAAACTGTGTAAGTAATTATGTATCCTTTCAGTCTGCTTCTAGCAGACAGTTCCACTTTGGGAGATTAGGCTGATAGCAAGCGGGACCAGATACTGTGTGACATGGCATTCTTCCTGTAGTGATTTGGGGGTTGTGAATCCATGCACATGTAGCTTCATCCCTTTAGCTATGATTTTGTGCTCTTAACATCTACGTTACCTTTCTTTTTGTGTCATCCATTTAGATGAGCCAATCTAAAGCAGTAAGTTTTCAGTCCTAGGAAACAATGAGTAAACTTAGTGGCAATAGATTTATTTTTGCTTTCAGTAAAGCAATGGAAAAAAAATCAAGACAAGCTATGGTCTAGCAAATTGCTGGGACATGTTTGCATTCTAAAAAAAAGTTGCATCTGTGCTCTACCTGCCCTAACCTAGAAGGGCAACCTGGGCAGGATAGATAAACAGGCATTTCATATTCTCATGCTGAATTACATGAGTCTTAATAGTGTGGAGTTTAAAATAGGGCACAGAACAAATACAGCCCTCTTTAAAAGGAGATTTTTAATTTTTTTTTTTAAAGGTGGTTTTAGCATTTCAGTCAGGGCTCTAGAAAAATGCTTACCTTCCTGCTGCTTAGAAAATAACCAGCCTCTGTCATCTGGAGGGAGGGAAGAGGCATAGGCACTTTGGACTCACGGACACATTTTCCTATTGCTGACAACTTGGTTGCATTTTATAGTTCTTTTTTCCCCCTTTTTCAGTCTAGATATTGCTTTGGAGTATTGCTGTGGTAATGGCAGAAATCAGCTGTCTTTCTGACACATTTTCTGTTTTCCTCATATAGGAAGGAAGTTGCATGTTCACTTATGGAATGGGAAAAATCCTAATTTATTACATTGTAGAGTATTCTAGTCCCTGTAAACAAAATCTCTGATCCTGCTAAGTTATGCTGCATTTACGGCATCTCCAGCTGAAAGCAGAATGGGAATTAACGCTGTTCTCTTTGTGACCTTTGTGAAATGACTTTTGTGAGAGAGATTGGAATCCAGTGCATTATTGCAGTCTGCTTTCTTAGCTATCTGCTGTCTCTCATAAATAGAAAAACTTGTCATTACCGCAAATTTTTTTTAACATCATGTAGATGAGGGTGCACTTAGCACAGCCTGGTACGTAGGGCATTGGCATTCAGTAATTGGAGAGAAAGTAACCAGCCATGTGCCTTTCTGTATACCACACTACACATAAAAATGGACTCAGACTCAAACATAACCACTGCTTAATCTGTATTAGTTTTTTAAATAAGTTATCCTGGATATATCTTTAATTTATAGATTCACCTCTTGTCTGTAGAATCATCAAGGTTATGCTAAATTGCCTGCAATTTGCTCTTCTTAAATTAAAGGAAAACCATTGCATTTAATTAAAATAAAAGCTCTTTAATTTGGATTATGTTGGCAGTTTTCTGCAGAGCGGCAACACTTGGGATTTACTGAGAGTGAAGCAGCTATTCAGGCTGGTTCCCTAGAACGAATTTCAATAAAGGGGGTGGGGGGAGTTATTTTTAGTGGGTTTAGATTGTAAAATTTACTCACGTGCAATTTGAGAGGTTGTTATAAATATAAGTAAAGCAGAAGGATTTGTTTTTATGAATAAGACACTGTAGAGGAACAGAGGTTAAGAGTATTATGTCTCTGATGCCTGAATAAGAATTTTCTGAGTGATGAGCAACTCTGCATCTGGTACCTGGTTTCTTCATTGTCCCAAAGGAGAAACGCCTTTGTCATATGTTTTATTAATTCTTGCTTTCAGACCATTAATGGTTTTTTATACCAGAATTATCTGAATATGGTAATTGTTTTTTTCAGGCTTTATAAATATTCTAACATAAGTCACTTCTAAAGGTGACCTCCAGAGTGGAGAAGAAATAGGCAATTGCTGATTTCAAAGGGGAAAAACGTGTTTCATAATAATGTCGGTGGAATTTCGAAATTTTTGTATGTGTAATAAAGTTGTTGGTTTTCTTAGTGCCTCTTTTTGTGTGTCTGAAACTCAGGTTCTGTTTTTTCTTGATAAAGTAAGAAATCGGTGAAACAGTCATTTGCAAAGCTGAATAAATAGAAATTGTCTGAACTATTATTTTGTTTTTAATACTTTAGGTGCAGGTAGTAGTGGATGAAATAAATGTGGGAGGGCAAAAGTCTTTTGCCGCTGCTTGTTTGGGAATACGAAGGGGATTTTAGATGTCTGAAATTTTGGAGTTGTACTGTGGGCAAGAAGGTATATCCTCTGTTAATATTTAATATTAACTGGCTTTCTGTTTAAATGAAAGCACACTAGACTGAAATGCAGCTGAAATTTCCAGAGATCTGAGCAAATCCAAAATACATAGACACTGGTATTCTGGTATTCCTTGTGAAGCAGTACGTGCTTTAAAAAACAACATAGCACACAGAGCTTTTTCTTTTGATAAATAAGCATTAGGACCAAAGGAGACATGCCTAGTTGAAAAAAAAACCAAACAAAAAAAGTTCTTTGTAGAGCAGCTGTCAGGAAAAGGTGTTTCTCACTTTCAGTGTTGTTAATGGTGGTAATAATTTTGAACATGGATAAAATTAAAGTCTTCTATGGTAATATTAGCCTGCCTGTATTTTATGTGTTTGTGATAGGAAGATATTTTCAGTTATGCGATGAAAGTTGGAACTCCCTGTGTGCCATATAGTGAAGTTAATACATGAAATCTGATATGTACACTGTGCTTCTGAATGGATCAAGGTGGTGGGTGAGATTTAGGCCACCTAAAGAGCTGTCTGTAAAGCTGTTCATGAAGACAGTTCATTTATAGCATTTGTACCAGTGATTAAAATGATCGTGATCCTGTGTTTCACAGCATAAATTGATCATCATCAGAGGTTAGGCAAGAAGGCAGACTCTAATCAAAGAGGTTTTACTGTCAGCTATTTCTAATCTCTCTGCTTTCTCCACAGCACATTAAAATCTGATTTTCAGGAAGTAAATTTAGTTACTTCACTGACCTTTGAAACTGTATTGATGTTTTGTGTTTGAGCACTGGGGTATTGTTGAAATTGTAGGTTTTTAATACTTACCTACATTAATTCTGAAGTTTCTGTGGTTACAGCCATTTGCTAGAAGGAAGCCATTTGAATTAAAAGTTAAAAGTTTTGTAGAGACAATTGTGACAGTTAAATCCCTGTTCTTTTATAATGTGCTTGCCTGTGTTGTTTTCCGTGTAGCTTGCACCACGAGAGAAGGCAGCTATGAATTACAATCAGAAGCTGAAGGAGAAGTTCCAGCATCACCCAAAGATCAGGCGCATCGCTCAACACCGTCATTTGCCTAAAAGTATATTCTGCCAAATCAAGGAGCAGCGTATCATGAGAGAAGCTCGTCGGCGAAAGTATGTTGTCTTCTTCTGGCTATGTTTTCTCTTGTTCCTAGTAAAATGCATCCCTGCAGTGCTGTAGCGGCAGTGTATGGGAGTGATAGAGCCACAGTGTATGGGACGAACAAGTAAGAGCTACTTCTAACATCTGAATGAGTGATCATGACCTACTGGATTCATTACCTTTGATCATAAGGAAAATGCAGACAAGTGCCAGTATCAACGAGGACTGGCTGCTTCCCAAACGTATGCTGAAGAAATGGGAGCAAATACCATGTTGGAAGGAGTCACAATGCTCTGTTAAGCCTGACATGATGCAACATTGCAATGGAAACAAAATAGCCTGTTTTGGGGGTGTGGAGGGGCTTTTTGTTTTTGTTGGCATTTGGTTTGGGTTTTTTTGTGGGGTGTTTTTGTTTGGTTGGTTTTTTAAATGCCGGACTCCAGGATTAGTGTTTTCAGTCACCTGGATCATTGCCATATTGGAATTTCTAGGAGGAGAAGATGGCATACTTTGCTGTAGCCATTAAATTAACAGTAAAACCAAAAAGTGGTGGGTTTTAGTCACCTTTCTTAGCTGACAGACTCTACAAACTAGAACAGCAAATACTATTGAGATGAAAACCAAGTAACCTGAGCTCCCAAGAAAAGGCTCAATTTGAAAATTTTCTAAATTAACCAATTCTAAAGTTGTTTTTCAGCAGACAACCCTTCTTCTCAGAAGAAGTAGTACTTGACATTTGGATAGTAAAAGCAGAGCAATTATTGAATATTTTTTTAAATTGTAGGATATCTCCATTAGTAGCTTAAGCAGTAAGCTAATCACAGAATCACAGAACGTTAGGGA